GTCAATATTGATGAGTGATTCTCGCTGATGATTATGATGATGATGATGATGAAGGTGGTATTGATGGTAGTTGTGATGGTGATGGTAATGATGATGTTGATGATCGCTGTAGTGGCTGATGGTAAGTAAACGTCAAGTCTTTATACAATCTGGAATGTCGTTTATCCCTTACTTTTTTGTAGTGCGTCTAGTGTCTGTAATCGTTCATCTCGTGGCATAAGCGCATGTCCAGGAGGGATGCTTGGGTCTGGGATGTTAGCTATTCGCATTTCCTCCTCTTTTTTCCACTGCTTTTGTCGTTTTTTCAGACTTGAAAAATAAATACACTCAATTATCATAGCAATCAAAACAGTGTATTCGATTTAGTTTCTACAGTACCGTATTTACTCGAGTAAACACCCATGCCATATTTTAAATATTATGTTTATATTTTAAATTTCATATTTTTTTAATCCCACCAGCCCCCAACGGTCCCTTAGTGTGGCTTATTTGTACCTATTGACCTAGCTTATTTCAAACTGGAGCTTCTTCAGCCGACAACATTACTGTAACTCGGGACCCAGCATTTGATCATGTAAATACGGTATAAAACACAGTCATTTACACGATATATGCATATCATAATAAGTATCTCAGCCAAGTTGACAAATTACTCCATCGTGCACACAGATTTGGCTATGTTTCTGGTAAATTATCAATTGAGGATTTATTGCAAGGAAAGGATTGACATCAATGGGACAGGATCAAGGATGATGAGACACATGCCCTCCTTTCACTGCTCCCACCAAGAAGAAATATCAAGCTATGCAAGAGAGGACATGATCTTATTCTCCCAAGAATTAGAACTGAGAGTTACAAATAGATGCTTGTACAATTTTATTGAGTTAAATTCACTTTTTAAAATTTCAATGTAAACTCAAACGTTTTTTTGTAGTAATTTCTAATAAAGACATTTATTATTATTATTATTATTATTTTAAGTCAGAATACTTACTATTTAGGAACTATGCCCTTTTTATATTTCTCTTCTTCCTCTTGTTTTTTCTTTTTTAGATTTTCCAGTGCCATGGTGGAAGGAGCTCTACGAGGACCAGGTGAAGCTGTTAATCGTCGTATATTTTGTGCGATATGGTTTGGGTTTTTCTTTGGTGGAGAATTCTGTGAATTAAAGAAAGGAATCAGTTAGACAAAGAATACAACTAATTGTAATTGTTTGATCTGTGAGTTAGCCATGCCCTGACTTAGATCAG